GAGCCCCATCTCCGAAACGTCGTTTTACGTTTTTTACGTTTTATTACTAGACGATGGATAATATCCAAGTAAATTTTTATTCAATTGACTCTTCACCATCGTCAAGAAGTTTTAGATTTAATTTTGAATTATTTAAATTTTAGAACACTTTATTCCAGACAGTGCTTTATTTCTTATTAATGTTTTTAAGGGCATTTCCATTCCATTGTGGACACTATTGATATTCGTTTACCTTCAAGGCAAGTAAGATAGTTTCGTACTTTCAACGTAAGCATTGCATTAAGACTTGTCCCTCAGCTAAGTGTGCTATTGCTGCATGGTAAGACGCAGTATCAGTAATGACAGGGAAACACAAACTTGTTGGTGTATTATTCATTGATGAGAGTATAAATCAAACTGCGTACAACTGGCAAATAAATAGTGGGTTTGAAGTTGTATTCTAATGTGCACAGAAGAAAAGATCCACTTTCTTCCCCCTTTAAACAGATGTTTTGTGTATGACGCTCTCTAATTTTAAGAATGAGTAATTTAGGGAAAAACTCGTGTTATACACGAGTAAATAACATTTTAGCAAAAACAATATCTCCTTGAGGACACTTTCTCGGCAAGTGAGAGTGTCCAGATTATTTATTTGAGTTTAATTTTGTGTAGTTTGTTCCTTTTTAATGTGTATATTTTTTAGGATTAGGCTGTTTGCTGTTGGCAGGACCTGAGTTGAACTAAATTTAATTACTGTTGTTATTGTTAACTGAAATTGTTGGCATTCACGTTCCTTTTAAAAATTTGGGAGATTTCCTCTTGTTTACTGTTGATTTCTTGCATAAAAGTTGTCCCTCTGATAGATGTGCATCAGCTGCATTGGCATTTCCATTTCTTAATCAAGTAATGTGACTATTTTTCAGGGGAAGCCACAACTTGATGTCAGCTGTGCATCTCCATCATGGACTGGGTCATCGCTCTGTGATCATGGTGGGGGCTGGTGCAGAGGGAGGGGAACAACTCTTGGAGGAAGTGGATGAAGGCCTCATTGAAGAAGAGGATGAGGTGAGAAAGTATAAATGCTACTTTTTATTGTGTGTTGACTGAAATTATACCTCATTGCTTATAGCTTTAGAAATACATTATAATTTATTTGCATTCGTATTTTCCATGTGGGATATTGGTCATCTTCACTTTGTTTGGACGCCCTTTGGGATCGTTAGTGAATTTGTTCATCAGGTCTGTTTTATTAGTGTTGTACAACCAAAATGTTCTTGCCTCATCACACTTAGTATGGAGTTATTTTTAGACTGCATAGCTGTTTGAATAACTAATCTTATCCTGTCATCTCACTGCATAGTTCACATGTAGACTGTGGAATTTAAATGCTGTACCTAAAAGGTACTGTAACTGATATTTTTTTCTCAGAAATTTTCTTTGATTTGAAAGATATAAAGAATATGGCAGCTCATCTGAACACAAATTCATGCCACTGTGTTACAGGAGATACCCAAAATCAATGTAAACTAGGTTGTCCTGGGCAAAACTAGAACAAGTAATTATTATGGAAATGTAACCTAACCTCATAGTGATCACTGCCGTTCTTAGGGGCTTAACACATACCTTTGTAAAAACTAGTCACTGCTAGTGTTAGAGTACATTACATTTTGTGAGGTTCAGTAACAATTATTTTTGTAATTTTGCATAGGACTAACTAGTTTAGATGAATTTTGGGTGTTTGCAGCATCGTTTCTATAATTTCTGACATAAAAAAAGTTCACGTATCTACATAACAATAATGTATCAGTTGCTGTCAGATGAAAATATTTTACATAATTCTATAGTATAATTTTCCAAAAGATAATTTCAGTAAAGAAGTTCAGAAAAAACTGTTTCCATATGCTACAAGACTACAGAGCCCACACACTACTTCAGAACCCTACATAAAATTATTGTAAATATTCATAATGAATAATTACTTATACTTTACTTCTTACTTCTTCTTCTTCTTCTTATATGGCTCTCCGGTCTGTATTCGGTCCATGGCCTCCTCAATTCTCCTCTTCCATTCGGTCCTCTGTTAGGTCCGTCTGTCCGAGGCTTTGATCGAGGTTTCGAAAAATCTTCCTTTTTACGGTGCAAGGTTGTTAGCCTTGCGACCAACCCCCAAACTGGAGGACCAGGGTACCTGTCTTAGTCTGACCTCTCCCCCTCGACCAACCCTACCAGTAGCTAAGCTACCGCCAGCATAGCTCTTGGGATCACTGAGGTACTCAAGCCCAACCACCACGACAGGGTGCAGGTACCATTAAGTAGGGAAATTTCTTATAAATTAAAGATTTCTCTTTATAGGCTTATGGAAAGTTGTATTTGTTTGATTAGACAATTGCCTTTATGTTTCAGTTGGGTGTAGCTGAGTTGAGTGAGGATGTACTGCTACAAGATGATGAGGAAGAAGAGGAAGATGGTGAAGATAGAAGCTGGCGACGATAGCAGTCGTGATCAGTCTGTATGTCTCGAAATTCACGGCCCAGAGGGCTTGCTTGCAGTGTAATTATTCGAGTGTAATGCACAGTGTGTAGGAACATGTGCGTTAGTATGTATATACATATTTTGTAACTTTTATAAATATTAGATATTTCCTTTGGTTCCAAATGTGAATTTCAATTATTTTAACCCTTCCCAAGCAATTTTTCTTGTGTCTGTAAGTGGAATATTTTTTTCTGTAAACTAAATTTTATTATGCGTGGAAGTCTTCAGAGTAACTAAAACTATAATATAAGTTTTGAAACTGAAACTGAGTTTCACCATATGTTAGCTCCATTTACCAACTAAAGACTGTCCTGTAACTTGATGCAAAGTTTTTAATGTAAATTTCTAATTGGATAAATGACGCACGTCTCACTGAATTTGTTGCGCTTCTTTATGAGCCATCACAGTTATTTCGGGTTTCACGCACATGGAAACATGTTTTGCGATTATAACGTCAGTGACGTTTTCCATTGCCAGCACTAACTCTGGAAAACAACTTCTGTGTGATACATTACAAAGTACTTGGTCTGGGTTTGAAAATGGCTTTTTCTGCATGTCTTTGCTCTGTGAATGGAGAGTACTGAGCTAGAGTTTCGGGCATATCTTTTGTAGATGGTATTGCTTTTTTCTGTTACGTTATTGGTACCTATTAACTTGTGCTCTAGGTTTTGGCTGTGTGTAATACTTGTTGGTGTAGACAAATTATCCAGAAGATGGGTTGGTAGTGTCTTTCATGAGAACAGTGCACAGCTGTTATTGCTTGCATAGTTCTCAACATCAGGGTTCTCATGTACTGTTTTAACAGTATATGTATCTGTTAGATACCACAGACATTCTTAGCCCAAAGTTATAAGATTATAAGTTTTAGAGGATGCTGTCCTTTCATTTACTGTTAAATAGAAGTGGGAAAGTAATTAACCCTTCAGTGACAGCAACCATTTATGTGGTGTTCAACCCTGTGGACAGAGGAAATTTAACCCGATGTACCTGGTTTGTGCCAAGGTCAGAGGCTATCGTCATGTGACGAGCAGGTTCATATCGTGCGCAGAGGGTTAAGGATGCATTTTGACCTGTTTTTGTGAAATACAGGATTTATTGATCTTGTTCCTCAGTGTGTGCAAAATGTTTGTTCCAAAATAAACTGAAATTTATCTGTGACAAGACATCTGAAAATAATTGCATTTTGTTTACCTTTGTTTGAGAGAAGTAATCAGCATGGGATGTAGGACCACGGCTTCAACTCCAGACACTGCCTTGAGGGTTGAAGATGCTCTCTCAGTAGGGGAACATATTTCATACTTTCGTCTTGTTGCCATTCAGTATGGTTTCCTGTAGATTGAGGTCCAACAAATTCAAGTGAAAGACAAAATTAAAATATTTAGCAGGCTCATTTGTCCAATAAAAAATTGATGGTACAGCTGCATCTTTTTCAATATTTTGCATTTTGGTACTTTTGCTTGGTTCAAGCCACTTACTTACCATTGTGTATGGTTTTTCTGTCTGTTGTGCTGTTCTAGCTCTGCGTAGCACTGGCATCACTTATCTCATAATAACTGTCAGTGGAATGAAAGTCTAAAATTATTTAATGGTAATATCTGAAACAGACACTATTTCTTCATCGTGCACTGTCCCCCTTTCAATGTTTGATATGCAAAAAGATTGAAAAAAACAACCACTAAACAAATTGTCTAAGTGACTTGGCACATACGTGAAGAACTGTCTCCCACACTCGCATATACCTAAATCCTGTCATTTGAATCTGTAGTATCACAGATGTCACCAACATTTGCCTTGACATCTTTTAATGTCATGGCAGAGACAGCAGTAAATACAGACTTTGTATAAACTTTGGGTATGTCCATATTCTGCATATGAAGTACTGGTTGACCTCAGATGTATCTGGTTTTCACTTGGGAAGGGTTAACGTTAATTTGATTCTGTTCATACAACTAAATGCATTTCTATTGGCATAGACTATATGACAAACATTGTAATTTTGAGTGAGAACAAAACTTCTGTAACAAAACTGCTTTCATGTACTGCAAGAAAATTGTAATGTTGTCATTACTAGTATAGTTTTAATGGTTTTGTTTTAAAGTCAGTGGCGTAACTTTGGCACGTCAATCACCAGTGAAATAAATGCTCTGACTTTCAAACATTGGAATTTCATTTTCCATACTAATAAATGTATGTGCACTGATTAATGTACAACATTGACAATGTCTTTGTGTTATATTAAGTCATAGATAATTGTACTTGATTTTATTGTAACATATATTTGTGATTTGTTTTCTTCAATGAAATGTTCAGTAATTGATGTAAAAATACTTCATGCAAAAATGTGCTTTGTATAATGGTTAAAGATGAAAAGATTGAAAAGATAATAGCTGATAAATGAAAAGTTGAAAAAGAAAAGAAGGAACACTAAAGATTAAAATGTTATGAAAAATTACAAAAAAGAGAGTGAAAAAAGAAACAGAAAACATTAACCAATTAAAGCACTGAAGTTTTTGTACAATAATAAAAGAAGTGGGAGCAAATACTAAAATGAAACAAAGAAAAGATCAAAACAAAAAAATTATCACTTGCCCCACCAACAAAACAATTGTTTCTTAAAAGAGCAAGATTTTCTGCAAAAGACATTTTATGCTATGTGGTAAATAAGATTGTGTGCCTTTCAGACAATTTCCAGCATTTTTTGATTTTTCAAAAATTTTGAAAAATCTGATTTTTTTAAAATTTCCACTGCTAGATTCATACAAGAACCGGTCTCTGCCAAAGCCGATCTCACACAGGCAGGCTCTGTCTCACCCAATCTGTGCTTCAACCGGTCTACGTCGGACACGCTCTCTGCCCGACTCTGCATGTCTCAGAGTTAGGTTGGGTTAGGTTAACTTAGGCTAGAGACAGTCATACAGAGACCGGACCTTACTGAGACAGGATCCGTCAGGTTACGTCAAAGACCGGATGAGGCACAGCACTATGCTGACAGCGATCGGGTGGGGAGAATTTTTGAAAAATTTTGAAATTTTTCCAAATTTTTAAAAAATCAAAAAATGCTGGAAATTGTCCAAAAAGCGCACAAAACGAAAAAAATTTGAAAATTTTATCTTAAAATTTTTTTTTCAAAAAATTTCGACTTTTTCAAAATTCCCCCACCTGATGCCATGCAGAACCAGTCTCTGTCGGACTGTATCTGATGTACTGTGTATGAAGAATACGGTCTATGCATGACTTGGTCACTGCACGGACCGGTCTCTGTATGACACGGCTCTGACGTGCCGTCTCCGAGGCAAGGTGCGGCAGACATTGACCGGTCTCCTGCAGAGTCCGGTTGGTGCAGACTCCGAGGCAGGCAGCAACCGGGTGAGATAGATGCCGAGTCCGGCAGAGACAGGATGTGGCAGTCACCGAGACTGGCATGCATCTCTTGGGGAGAGTTAAGAAAAAATGTTAAAAATTTTCAAAATTTTCGAAAAATCAAAAAAATGCTGGAAATTGTCTGAAAAGCGCACAAAACCAAATTTTTTTTGAAAATTTTGAAATAAATTTTGAATGTGGAATTTTTCAAATATTTCAATTTTGTGCGCTTTATGAACAATTTCCAGCATTTTTTGATTTTGTCAAAATTTTGAAATTTTTCAAAATTCCACCACCTGATGCCTTCCAGAACCGGTCTCCCTCGGACTGTTTCTGATGTACTGTGTCTCTGACTAATGTGGTGCGGCATACGACACATAAGGCAGAGACACTGACCAGCAGAGAACAAGTCATGCAGAGGCTGTTTGTAGCAAACACCGAGGCAAGCAGCAACCGGGTGAGATAGAAGCCGA